GAATGCTCCTTGTAGACAAAGATAATAAAGCTTCGTCTCACATATTTCAGGCATGTTGCTAGATGAAGTTATTCCTTGGAGAGGGACATTGTGCTTGTAAAGGTGACGGGTTCAGCAAAGGAGAGAAAGACCTTTAACCCTGTGGACTGCCACAGTGACTGCCACAATGGGATCTAGTGTGTCAGGAAGTGTGAGGATGGCACAGGATAGAACAGGGTTCAGATCTGTTGTTCATAGAGTTGCTATGAGTCAACTCAATGGCACCTAACAACAACAACAGATCCTGAACTAAATGGTACAGGAGGGAAGAGGCAATGAGTTATAAATGCTTTCTGAATGAATGTTGAGTGCACATGTGTGTGTGCGTGTGCGTGTGCATGTGTGTGTGTGTGTGTGCTTGTGTGCTAGGGACGTTGTGTTTATTAGGTACACATCCAAAGACTTCCATGTGATATGTTCAAGACTTGTCTAGATTTTCCAAAGGCTTTATCTTTTAGCAGTTCTCTATTATGAAGGTGTAAACCTGTTTACTCATATTAAATTTGGAGTAAATTCCATTTCAGAAAGATCAAGGAACTTATCTAACAGCCTAGTGCTGTTCAGGCCCTTCGAGTTGGCACCGTCCTAAAGTGGCAAGGAAGCAGACGGCAGCCCTGTGCCATCCTCCCATTCTCTGCTGCACACAGGCCCACTAATGTGGTCACTGTCAAGGGTTCTCACAGCAGAACTTCCTCGTTTTCACAGATTCTCTGCTTTCACGCATAAGTCTTTCTCTAGGGACTAGATCACATGCCCAAATGATTCGGACCAAGTCTCACCATTCTCACCTTTTTAAAAAATTGTGATCTGAATGGGAGTTTACAAAGAAACTGGCTCTTCCCTCATTCATTTATAGAGCTCTATGCCCCCTTCCTTTCCACTTCTCTATTCATAGAGAATGTGCATTGGACTAGGTGAAAGGAAGGTGACTCTGAAAAGAATAGAGAATAAGACATTATGAGCAATGCTACATCCTTATTTTTAAGAAGGGATTTGGTTACGTGTCTTTCAAGACAGGTTTGTCTGTTCTTTTGACAGTCCACGGGATATTCAATATTCTTTTCCAACACCATGATTCAAAGGCATCAAATCCTCTGTTTCCCTTATTCATTGTCCAATTTTCCCATGCACACAAACCATGAAAATATGTTTGTGAAAATACCATGACTTGGATCAGGCACACCACTGCCCTCAGCATGACGTTCTTGCTCTTTCGCACCTTTAAGAAGTCCTTTGCAGCAGATTTGCCAGATGCAATGTGTTGCTTGATTTCTTGACTGCTGCTTCCAGGAGTATTGATTGTGGATCCAAATAAAAGAAAAATAGATAAGTCCTTAAAGTTCACTAAGATGGGATTAATATTTCATACAAGTCCAGATGACTGTGCAATGGGATCTGATGCAGCCATATACTATTATGATGCAGAAAAATACTTTAAAGATGCTTAAAACACATTGAGAAAGTATACTACAAAATAGTTCGTAAAATTTTATCAGAGGAGATTGTCTACCTTTCTCCCTCAGAGTGGCTGGTAGATTCAAATCTCTGATCTTTCAGTTTGCAGTACAGACTATGCAACCCAAGTTCCTTAGAAAACAGTTAAATTGTTGTGATTTCATAAATCAGAGATCAGCAAACTATGGTCTGCAGGTCAGATCTGCCTTATATCTCTTTTTGCAAATGCAGTTTTATTGGAACATTGTTCCTGCTGTTGTTTGTTAAGTGCTGTCGAGTCGCTTACAACTCACAGCAACCCTATGTACAACAGCTCTGAACCCTGCCCTATCCTGAGACAACCTCATCTCCAACACACCAACCCCGTTAGCCTAGTCTCTGAGCCAATTCATTTCATCAAGAGTTTTCCTCTCTTGCGCTGTCCCTCCACCCTCCCAAGCATGACATCCCTCTCCAAGGACTCATCCCTCCATGCAACATGCCCAAAGTATATCAGATGAAGCTTCAGAATCCTTGCCTCCAAGGAGCAGCCTGGTTTCACCCTCTCCATGACGAATCTATTTGTTCTAGCAGTCTGTGGTATACTCAATATTCTTCTCCAGCACCACAGCTCAAAGGCATCAATTCTCCTTCTATCATCCATAGTCATTGTCTGGCATTCTGATGCATAGCAAGTTGTCACTGTTAGGTGCCATCAAGTTGACTATGATTCAAAGAAAAATACTGGAAATTATGATCTCTGGTATGTGTGAGCCGGTTATTACACTCACTATGTCAATCCATCATAAACATATTGTTGTTATGTACCTTTGAGTCAGAACCAACTCATTGCTGACACTCCAGCAGGTTTTCAGAGGTTGTAAATTGCACAGGAAGCGAATGCCAATCTTTCTCTCACAGAGCAGCTCACAGATTTGAATTGCATGCCTTTGGCTGGCAGTGTAATCTTGTTGAGTATGTTGTTGTTGTTAGGTGCCACTGAGTCTAGTACAACTCATAGCAACCCTGTGAACAAAAGATTTGAAATCAGTCCTGCCCTGTGCCATCCTCACACTTCCTGATACACAAGAGCCCATAGCCGCAGTCACCTTGTCAATCCACCTGGTTGAGGGTCTTCCTCTCCTTTGCTGAACCGCCAGCCTTCCCAACATCATGTCCATCTCCAAGGAATCGTACCTCCTAGCAATATGCCCAAAGTATGTGAGGCAAAGCCTCATCATTCTTGCCTCCAAAGAGCACTCTGGCTGCACCTTCTCCAAAACATACCTATTTGTTTTCTTGGCTGTCCATGGAATATTCAGTGCTCTTCTCTAACACCACAGCTCAAAGGCATCAATTCTTTTTCTGTCATCCTTATTTATTGTCCAGTCCTCGAATGCATAACTAGTAACTGGAAAGACCATGGCCTGAAAAAAAGATGCACTTTAGTCTTCAAACTGACATCACTACTCAATAATTTGGAAAGGTCCCTATCTGCAGATTTTCCCACTGCAATGTGTCTCCTTATTTCCTGACTGCTCGTACCAAGGATCCAAAATTGTGGATCCAAGTAAGATGAAGAATCTCCTCTCCATCCATCATGACACTGTTTATTGGTCCAGTGGTAAGAATCTTTATTTTCTTCATACTGAGATACAATTCATACTGAAGGCTGCATTCCTTGATCTTCTGCAACAAGGGCTTCAACTCCCCTTTACTTTCAGCAAGCAAGGTGTCATCTGCATAATGCAGGTTATTGATGAGTCTCCCTCCAATCCTGATACCACACTCTTCATAGAGTCCAGCTTCTTGGATAATTTATTCAGCATATAGATTGAACAGGTATGGAGACAGAATACATCCTGACGCACTTCCTTCCCAATTCCAAACCATGCAGTGCTTCCCTGCTCCATTCGCACAACAGCCTCGTCCAGGCATAGGTTCCTCATAAGCACAATCAAGTGCTCTGGGATTCCCATTCTTCTCAATGTCAGCCACAACTTGTCATGATCCACACAGTCAAATGCCTTTGCATAGTCCATAAAGCACAAACAGACATTCTTCTGGTATTCCTTACTTTCAGTCAGGATCCATCTGACATCAGCAATGATATTCCTGGTGCCATGGTCTCTTCTAAATCCTGCTTAAACTTCCGGCAATTCCCTATAGATGTACTGTTCCAGCTGTTTTTTAATGATTTTCAGAAGTATTTTGCTAGCATGTGATATAAATGATATTGCTTGATAATTTCCACATTCAGTTGGATCACCATGTTAACTTATTTCTATTTAGTCTACAGCTACTTTCATGATACAACAGCAGAGGTGAGCAGAATGATGGAGAGCATCTGGCCCGGCAAACTGAAAATATTCAGTATTTGAACCTTTCTAAAAAGTTTGCTGAACTCTACCGTAAACACAATGATGCTAGTATGAGGACTAAGGTGTGCCTGATTCAGACCATAGTCTTTTCAATCACTTACTATCCTGCTGAGAGCTGGGCAATGAATAAGGATGACAGAAGAAAAAAAATTATAAGCTGTAGTGTTGGAGAAGAGCTCTAAATATCCCATAGACTACCAAAAGAACAAACAGATATGTCTTGGAGAAGGTGCAGCCAGAGTGCTTCTCAGAGGCAAGAATGACAAAGCTCTGTCTCATATACTTTGGGCATGTTGCTAAGAGAGTCTATTTGGAGAAGGACATTATGCTTGGAAAGGCGGAGGGAATATGAAGGAGAGGAAAACCCTCAACCAGGTTGCTTGACACAGTGACTGCAGAATGGGCTTGTGTGTGTCAGAGATTATGAGGGTGGCACAGGTAGGACAATTGTTCATAGGGTTTCTATGAATCGTACTCTACTAGTACCTAACAACAATGATTACTATAAACATAACACAGCATGGACACTCTCATACACATGGAGAGAAAGAGAGAGAGAAAGGAGAGGGAGAGGGAGAGAAGAGAAGAAAACACAAGTATGGAATTGAATACACACCAGGGCACTAGGGGTTATCTCTGGCTACTTTTTATTTTCTTTTTGGAGCTTAATTGTATTTTCTGATTATTCCATAATGAATCTGATGACTGGGCAAGTAGGTTCCCTCCACATGAGCCAGATTTTATTGGAGAAAAAAAGGAGGGAAGTTTCATAAACAAAGGCTATTATCATGTTGCCCAGCCAACACAGGGGCAGGAAAGACTGGTTGGGATCTCTGGGGAGGAGCACGGGGCAGGACACAGGCAAGGCACAGCATTCAGGGCTCACTGCTGGGGTTGTTGGGTCTCCAGTGAGGGGACTTTGGCTTCATTTGTTTCCCATGATACCCCCTCAGACACCAGCCTCTGAGATGTGCCTACGTCAGCTGAGCTGGGATTTGAGCAGGGGTGACTGCCAGGAATAGGGGTGGGTAAGTGGGTAAGGCATCCTGAGAAAGGTGTGCAGGGAGCAGGCTGGGAAGGTAGGGGCACCAACTTTCAGTGAGTGGTGGATGAGTCCACTCAGGGCACAGGACAGTGGTCTCTCACCTTGTTCCTAGTCCCCTCCTTCCAGAAACACACTTCGTACTTTAGATCGATCAAGGGCATACACTGTGGCAGCTGGTACGTGGCATTGACGCTCAGCATCTCCTCCTTGTGCTTGAAAACAAGGGTGGGTGGCGCCGGCACCACTGGCAGAAACAGAATCGGACCAATCAGTTATCCTGTAGGGTCCCACTGTCTATCCTGATAGACACAAGGCAGGCCTACTCCTCACCCAGCCCAGAGAGCTCTCCTGGGAAGAGCAAAGAGACATCGGAATTAGTACATCACTTAGTCATTTTACTTAAGCTTCACAGGGACAGAGGGAGATGTTACATGTAATTTTAGAGAACCAGGACTTCAGGCTTAGACAAGTGAAATAACCTGTCTTTACTTGTGCTGTTCTTTCTATTTGGGATTCTCTTCGCTGATTTTTGACCTGTTAGAATCCTACCTATCTGTCTTCTTTATTTTTACTACTACTACTACTACTACTACTACTACTACTACGAGTGTTGTGTGACAAATTGCCACACATTTGTAGGCTTTTTCAAATATCATGAATTTATTATCTTAGAGTTCTGCTGGTCAGAACTTCAGGTAGGCTTGGCTGGTCCCTCAACTTAAGGTCTCACAAGACCAAAATTAAGGTTTGTACTGCACCATACTTTCTTATTTGAATGCTCAAGGTAAGAATCCCTTCCCAAGCTCACCTGTGTTGGCAAAATTCAGCTTCTTATAACCAGAAGATAAAATTAATGAAAGGGGCCATCTAAAAATTAAGTCCCTGTGTGCATCAAAACCTTTTTCCAATAGAGTGAAAATAAAACTCACTAACTGGGGGAAAAACCAGTTGGCAATGACATCTCAGACAGGGGTCTCATAACAAAAGTTTACAGAATACTATTCCTCAAGACTCCCACAAGGAAAAACTGGATAAATTATGTTTACGGCATTAAAGCTGATGAGGGAGAGAATAGTTTAAAATAATATACTTTAGTGCATTATGATTATCATAAGAGTCCGGAATGAGGGTTGCAGAGTGGAGTATACTTGGGGTGGGGGTGGGGGTGTACAGGGGGATTGTGTACCAATGAAGGAGTGTTTCTTTTGCTTTTCAAGGAGAGGAGCGAACTGGGGGTGGGGGTGGGAGGGGGAGAAAAGTGTAACAATGAATGAATGGAAGTCCGAAATCTATGTAGATGTTCATTGAAATTAAAAAAAAAAACAAAAAACCAAACACCAAAATGGGCAAAAGACATGAAGACTTTTCATCGAGGAAGATGTTTGGATGGCCAACAAACACATGAAGAAATGCTCAAAATCACTGAGAATCAGAGAGATGCAAATCAAAACAACAACGAAATACCATCTCAAGCCAGTAGCAATGGCAAAGTTTAACAGGACAGCTAACAATATAAGTTGGAGAAGATGTGGAAACATTGGAACTCTCATGCACTTCTGGCAGGATTATAAAATGGTACAACCATTCTGAGAGGCAGTTTGGCATTTCGTCAAAAAGCTGGACATAGAAATCCCATGTGACCCAGCCATTCCACTAATAGGAATATATCCCCAAGGAAATTAGAACTGAGACACAAATGGAGATAGGTACATCTATGTTCATGGCAGTATTACTTACAATAGGAAGAAAACGGGAACAGCCCAAATGCCCATCAACAAACAAATGGATTGAGAAATTGTAGTTCACACAATGGAATACTATGCAAAACTAAGGAACAATATGCTACCTCCTTTCCATGCAAATCAAATAATCCCTTCTTTATTCCCTATCGTTCTCTCCTACCATTCTTCAATCTTTCCCTTTCCTCCCTTCAGGTCCTACTTCACCTGCAAACTATTTGAGAAACCTAAGACTGCAACTTAAAACGGAATCTCCATGAGGGCAGTCCCTGCGTATCTATCCACTCCTGGTTTTTTTCCTTCCTCTACTTTTAAGTCAGGTCCCATGTCTTCTTATCCAAGGTCAAAAAGATTGAAATTCGTATCCTGTTTTTTCCACTTAGTATAACTGTGTGTCTAGGCAAGTTAGTTAGCTTCTATGAGCCTTGCTTTACTTTTAATACTTTATTTTTTAAAGGAGAGATGACTGAATCTCATTGGTTTGTTGTAAATAGTTATTTTTATGTGCTGTCAAATTGGAACCAACCCATAGCTTACCCTCCTAGCAAGTGTTTAGGGCAATAAATTATATGGGAGGAGACAGCCCAGCCTTCTCTTATGGAGCAGTTGTGCATTTGAAATTGCAGCTCAGTTTTTTATCACTAGACCATCAGAGGAAAAAAATAAACTGGGAGGGGGGAAAAGTGTGCTTCCGTCACCTAATGGTAACACTGGTGATCACGGAACGAAAGGGAGTCATTCACGAATAAAGGATTTTCTCTTCCATCCATTCTCATCCTCTCCCTGATTGCACCGCAGTTTCTATGGTGCACTGAAACTATTCTTGCAACCGAAACAGAAAGCCTTCAAGAGAGAAGGTAAGCAACTGGAAAAAGAAGGAAGCCGTGTGTGGCATGACTTGCTAGGAAACACATGAACATTTGCCTTTCCACACCTCCAACTCCATGGTACCAGCTGAATTGCTGGGGCTGGAGGGCTGGAACTCCCACAGCGCCCCAATAAAGAGGTCATACCACCAATGCTGCTTCAGAAAGTGGCCCTCTGCTCTGGGGAAGTGAGAGAGGTCCCAGACAGGAGTGCCATTGAGCTAAGTTCCTGGATAGAAAGCCTCCCTGTTCAACCCCTTACCCACAGACTCACCTTCAGAAAGGTAATCCAGGCTCTTGGACTCCACCCAGGGGGACCGGACACTGGAAGAAACTGCCCTCACACGGCCCTTGAACTTGTTGAACAGGTCCTGATTCTTCACACATATCAGGGAACACACCAGCTCTGTGGTTCCTGCACACTTCTTCACTTTTTGCCAGTGCATGGGGTTCGAGGAGCTGAAGAAGGACACAGGAGAGCTTGAGTCATGAACTCAGCCTTTTAGGGCTAGGAGAAGGACACTTAGAGATCATATGATTGCTTATTCGTCCATGTGGCCTGAGGGTCATTGGCTGAGGCAGCAGTTTAGGCTCTGGAGCCAGAGAGACACGGTGAGAATCCTATCTGCTCCTCACTAGCTCTGAAACCTGAGATAAATCTTTCCCCCCAGGTCTCGGTCTTCTCATCTGTAAATACAGTAACAATGACTCTGGCATGGCTGTTGTAGTAACAGGACACATTGCTAGGACGAGAAACCATTTTTGCAAACTGTTTAGTCATCCAGGGACTTATGGTTGCTGTTGTTAGATGTCACTGAGTTAACTATAACCTATAGCAACCCTACGAATAGATCTGCACCCTGTCCTCTCCTGTGCCATTGAGTTGCCTGTGACTCATAGCGATCCAATGTACAACAGCTCTCAAGTCTGCCCTGCCCTGAGCCACTATCACTATCTCCATTGCCCCAGTTACTGTGTCAATCCATCTCATCCAGGCTCTTCTTCTGCACTGTCTCTCCGCCATTCCGGGTATGAAGTCCTCCAAGGACCAGTCCCTCGTGGTCATGTACCCAAAGTATGTGAGACAGAGCTTCAAAATTCTAGCCTCCAAGGAGAAACTTGATTTCACCCACTCCAAGACAAGCCTATTTATTTTCTTGGCAGTCCTTGGTATGCTCAAGACTCTTTTCCAGCACCAGAACTCAAGGCATCAATTCTTCTGTCATCCTTAGTCATTGTCCAACTCTCTGACACATAACAAGTAATTATGAAGGCCATGGCCTAAATCAGGCTCACCTTAGTCTCTAGAATAACATCATTGCTTCTTAGTACTCTGGAGAGGTCTCTAACAGCAGATGTTCCTTGTAAAATTCGTCTTTTGAGTTCCTGACTGCTGGTGCTAAGAGTGTTGACTGTGGAGCCTAGCAAGCTATAATTGCTAACAACCTTAATCTCTTCTCCATCTATCCTGGTGGTGCCAATTGGGCAGTGGTGAGAATCGTTGTCTTCTTGATACTGAGCTTCAGTCCATATTGAAGACTACAGTCAGTTTCAGCAAGCAAGACTGTTTCATCTGCATAACGCAGGTTGTTGATGAGTCTTCCTCCAATCCTGAGACATGCCTCCTCATAAAGCCCAGAATTGTTGTTGTTACTAAATGCCATTGAGTTGCCGGCGACTCATAGGTACCCTATTTACAAAAGCCCGAAACCCTGCTCTATCCTGTGCCAATTGTATTGTTTCTGATACACCTTCCCTATTGCCTCAGCGACTGAATCAACCCATCTCATCAAGGATCTCCTCTCCTGCTCTGTCCCTCCAACCTCCCAAGCATGATGTCCCTCTCCAAGGACCTCCTTGCAACATGTCCAAAGTATGTCAGACGAAACCTCAGAATCTTTGCCTCCAAGGAGGAGCCTGGTTTCACCAGGACTAACCTGTTTATTCTCCTAGAAGAATAGACCCTCCTAAAAACATGCCTAAAGTATGTGAGATGAAGTTTCACCATCCTTGCCTCTACGAAACACCCTGGTTGTACTTTCTGTGAGGCATACTTGTCATTTTGACAGTCAATGGGATATTATTTTAAATTTTTTTCTTTTAATTGAGATTTTAATGAAAGGTTATAGAGAACTTAGATTTCCATTCATTCATTGTTGCACATTTTCTTCCCTGCCCACACCTCAGTCTGCTTTTCTCTTTGAAAAAAAAAAATTCTTTCATTGTTGCACAATTCCCCCCCCAACCCCACTCCATTTTGCTATGCAGCTCTTATTCTGGACTGTTGTCATGCAAATCATACCTAATTATATATTCCTTTTAAACAGTTCTTTCCCTCATCTGTTTCAGTGCAGTATACATTACCTCCTCTTTTCTTAGTTTCACCCCAAACCCCATGTCTGTCCTATTTTATTTATTTATTTCTTTTGAAAAGCATGATTTTTTTTTTAATTGTATATTGTTTTGGGTTGGGTTTTTGGTTTGTTTGTATTTTCTTCCCCCTTGTTGCGTACCATCAAATCTGACCCTATCGGCACAGAAGGAGATTGCCCCTCCTTCTCCAGAGGAACATCTGGTGGATTTGAACCATGCGCCTTCAGGATTGCAGTGTAGCATTCTGCCACCAGAGTTCCTGTCCTGTTTTAAAACAGTGGCAGTGTGCAGTATTTGTCCTTTTGTGATTGAGATAATTCACTCAACATAATTCCTCCAGGGTCACCTATTTTGTATAATAGTTCATGAGCTCTTTGTTTTTCAGTGCTGTATAATATTACATTGTGTGACTATATCACAGCTTTTTGATCCATTTATTTGTTGATGGGCACTTGGGTTGTTTCCATCTCCTTGCTACTGTGAACAATGCAGCAATAAACATTAAGTGTGCATATATCTACTTGGGTGGCAATTCTGATTTCTTTAGGGGGTATTTCCAGTTGTTGGATCAAATGGTATTTGTAATTTCAACTTTTTGAGAAAGCACCCATACTGCCTTCCAGAGTGGCTGCAACATTTGATGCTTCCACCAACAAAGAATAAAGGGTTCCAGTTTCTCCACAATCTCACCAGCATTTGTTGTTTGCCGCTCTGTTGAATTTTGCTACTGTTACTGGGTTGGGATGATATCTCATAGTTGTTTTGATTTGCATCTCTCTTAGATCTAGGGATTTTGAACATTTCTTCATGTGTTTGTTCGCCATCTGAATGTCTTCTTTGAAGTGTCTGTTCATATCCTGTGCCCATTTTGTGACTGATTGTTTACCTTTATCTAAAGTACTTGTTATACACCAAGTATAGTGCTGGATACTATTGCGTGTCAGAGGGAAAATGCACTTGTTTCCTGAGATCACTGAAGTTCAAAGGAGGAAGACACCTGTCTGTGATGATCACAAATACTATACTCACAGCCATTTTTGCTATAAATTGGAAACAACCTAAAATCCATAAATGAACAAAGGGATAAACGAACTGTTACAGAATACAGGCTCAGGCAGAGTTCCATTCTGTTGTACATATGGCAGCTTAATGGTACTTAACACAGTGATATTGACGTCTGTGTTCTTAGAAGGGACCAAAGGGACCAGTTCCTGGGAAAAGACATTTTGCTTAGAAAAATGGGGAGTTGGTGAAGGAGAGAAAGAGCCTTAATAAGATAGACTGAAGCAGTGACTGTTACAATAGCCTTGAGCACAGCAGACCGTGAGGAGGGCTCAGGACTTGGCTCTAGGACACGAGTGGAGCTGACTTGATGGCACCCAACAACCACAACAACAATACAGCTAAAGGTGGAACATTACTAGGGAAAGAAAGGAATGCATCATAGTACATATAGCAAGGATGAGTTTTAAAAAACTCTGCTGAGCAAAAAAGAAGCTCGATGCAAAAGAGTACAGACTATACCAATCCTTTCACGTGAAATCATGGAACACGCAAAGCAATAGAAACCATCTACGATCATAGAAAGGAGATTCACAACTGTCTATGTACATAACTATACACAGATTTTTGCTGCTTCATTTTATTGTGCAGATGTTGCACTTTTTACAAATCAAAAGTCTGCGGTAACCCTGTGCTAGCAAGTCTGTTGCTGTTATGCGCTGTTGCGTCACCTGTGACTCACAGTATCTATATACATCAGAATTTCATGAAACAGCGTATGAGTGAAAGCCTGGGGTCACAAAGGAAAAAGTTCAAGCTGCTCTTAAAGAACTGGCAAAAAACAAGGCCCCAGGATTTGACATCGTACCAGTTGACATATTTCAACAAACAGATGTTGCCCTGGATGCTCTCACCAAGTTGTGCTAAGAAATCTGGAGGACAACCACCTGGCCAACTGATTGGAAGAAATCTATATTTGTTCCCATTCCAAAGAAAGGTCACCTGACAGAATTCGGAAATTAATGAACAATATCATTAATATCACATGCAAGCAAGATTAAGCTGAAGATTATACAAAAACAACTGGAACAACACACCAACAGGGAAATGCCAGATGTACAGCTGGGTTTAGAAGAGGCTGTGGTACTAGGTATATTATAGCTAATGTTAGATGGATCTTGGCTGAAAGTAGAGAGTACCAGAGGAATGTCTATCTGGATTACAACTGTGGTTAACTGAGAAGAATGGGAATTCCAGAACATTTGACTGTGCTTGAGCAAAACCTATACTTCGACTGTGAGGCAGTCATCAGAATAGAGGAAGAAAACACTGCATGGTTCAAACAGGAAATGGTGTATGCCAGGGATGTGTACTGTCCTCCATACCTTTTCAATTTATATGCAGAACAGATCATGCAGGAACCTGGGCTTTATGAGGAGAAATGTGGCATCAAGATTGGAGGAAGACTCATCAACAAATTGCATTATGCAGGTGGCACAACCTTGCTTGCTGAAACTAAGGAGAGGACCTGAAGCGCTTGCTGCAGAAGGTCAAGGACTGCAGTCTTCACGATGGATTGTAGCTCAACATCAAGAAGACAAAGATTCTCCCCACTGGGAAATTGGCAGCATCATGATAGATGGTGAAGAGATTGAGATTGTTAACAGCTTTAGTTTATTTGGCTCCACAATCAACACTCTTAGTATCAGCAGCCAGGAAATCAAAAGATGAATAACTGCATTGGGATAGTGTGCAGTCAGAAACCTCTCCAGAGTTCTGACAAGCAATGATGTCAGTCTGGAGATTAAGGTGTGCCTAACCCAGGCCATTGTTGTTGTTAGGTGCCGTCGAGTTGTAGACGACTCATAGTGATCCTTTGAATGAAAGAGCTGAGCACTGTTCATAGAGTTTCTGGAGGCAAGCCATTTTGGAAGTGGATGCCACTCCTGCTTCCAAGCTGTTTTAATCAGGGAACTCCACCAAACACTGTCCACCATGGGTAACCATTATCACATTTGTCACATCAGTGTCACAGTGTTTAGCATCACAGCAAGCACAAGTTATCTCTGTACAGAAATTCACAG